CATTGGTCTTTGGGATGGGCAGTCATTGATTTCAGAGGTAAACAGTCACTATCCTGGGAATGCTCATGGAGTGCAGTTGACAGTCTCCTGGTGGTTAGACACTGGTTTGTGAGTAGGTGCCACCAGCTTCATCAATATGACATATGTATGCATTTCAAAGAATCCAACAGAGATGGTTCATAGTATCCTGGCTTCAAAGAATATGTCAGATAACCTCTGTTTGAGAACATTGTCACATAGAGGTCTCTGGTTCTATGAGGAACCTGAGTAAACTGGCCTCACGCCAGATTTATTTCTGGATCCCTGGCACCCTTTCTGTCTGGCTGGGTGATCTCAGACCAGATGCCACTGCACCATAGGTCTCCAGTTCCTTGGCTTAAAGTGGACCAGTTGTCCCTCCCTTGCATATTTCTGTAGAAGCTTATGAACCCCAGGACACATCCAGAACTGGGGCACACAGGACTCTAGTATCCTTCACATGGATACTTGTGAGGGTTCCCAGCCAGGTGGCTTGGGCTCTGGCCTCCTAACCATGACAGCATCAAGTGGATACAGTGTCCTCACTTCAGTTCAATGACCTTCCACTAGAAGAATGGCTGAAGAAGAAAGTCTGACATCTAGTCTTCAGGGAGACCCTATATTGTCCCTTGATGTCATTCAGCCACACAGCTGCTCCACATCAGGTTAGATGTGGCCTCTTGGTCATATTAGGTCCCACCAGGATCACCTCAGGGTCCAGGGACCTTGCTGTAGATAGCTCCCAGCCTGGGGTCAAGGGTCTTTCCAGAACAGCAGGTTGCACTGTGGGGACCCGGTACCCCATGGAACATCCTTCTCTAATTGCCTCAATAAGACTGATCTGGCCCAAAGTCCTACCTATGAAATGGCCCCTTCAGGAGGGCCTGGACTCTCATTCCTAGACTCTGAGTATCCCTGGCTGTCAGGCCTCCTCACCCACTGGGCCTCAGTTTTCTCATTTGGAAAGTAAGCAGTATATATGAAATTGCTTGATATGAGGCCTACCAACAGTGTGTGCCCTGGTACTGAGCATGCCCCAGGCTGCACATGCTTCCACAGCAATTGTGCAAGGGGCGAGATGGCACACTCAGCCATAGCTGAGGAACCGGAGACCCAGGGAGCTTTGAAATCTTGTCTGAAGTCAGCCATCTAGACAAAATGTGTCAGGACCACAGTAAGCCAGACTCCCAGGTTAGCTCACCCTCTCTTAACTCATATGGGTTAATTTCCACTCTTGTTCCAATGAGTTCTATTAATAAAGATGGGTTTGAGACTGCAGTCTCCCCTAAAACCACATACATGGAAACTGTCCATAGCAGTCTACTGGAAGTAACTTTTGATGTTGTAAACATCCTCACCATGCGCCAGTGGACAGGGACCACCCCCAGCCCTTCCCATCAGCTCATGTCTCAGAGGACGTGTCCTGATGCTTGGGGGTCATCTATTCACTCAGTGTGCATTTTCTCCCTCTCTTCCAGGGATGGCAGTGCCCTGGGACCCAAGGATGAGTCAGAAGTGTGGGGGCCTGAAGGATTCCCACCAAAACTTTGCCTCACACAGTCCAGTGACCTCATCCCATCACTGCTGATGCTCTCCCTGGCCTCCTGGCCCTCCTCCCAGTGGGTCCCTTGGGGGTCTGCTGCCCCCTCTCTTCTTCCCGTGCCTCTCAGGAGGCTGGCCTTCACCAGGCTTCCCATTGGGACCTAGTGTTTGTTTCCCGATGCTGCAAAGATAGAAATTCATTCTCTCACAGTTCTGGGGACGGAAGTCTACAGTCAGTACACTGGATAGCCAGTACAGTCTGCATGAGCTCCTCTGCAGGGCTGAGCATCCTCTGCTGGCATTGGGGACGAGCCTGCTCTTGCCTCTTCTGGTTCTCTCCGGGTGGCTGCCAACATTCTTTGGCTTGTGGCTACAATGCTTGGATCTCTGACTCCAAGATCACATCTCTTCTCCTCTTTCTCCTCTTAAGGAAGTGGGCATGTGGATGTATTTAGGACCACATAGGTATCCCAGGACAATCTCCTATGCTGTAGAGCTTTAGCTTAGTCAGCTCTACAAAGTTTCTTTCCATCACGTATGCTATCCTGTCCTGTGCAGGTACCAGGAATTAGGACCTGGATAACTTTGGGGGACTACTTCTCAGTCAACCCCATATCTAAAAGCCCATTCGGTCTGGCATCTCCCTCCTTGTGGAATCAGATCTGCCCCCACCTTTTGTTCCAAGTTTGACTTCCTCAGCTTCATGGGATCTGCCCCGTCCAGGCCCTGCTTTCTGCCTCCCCTGCATCTGAAACTTGCTCCCAGCTCTCCAGACCCACTGTGACCTTCCAGTCCATTATGTTCTGAGCAGCTGTGGGTCCCATTAAGGCACTTCCTGCCCAGAAGGCTTCTGGCTGCCCACTGCCCTTTCTGTGGAGACCTACTGTGCATGAAGTGCCAGAAAGAACCTTACCTCCAGGCTCCCAACCACCCAAGCAGTCCCATTGCCGAATGCTCCTCTCAGGCCTTTGTATGTGCAGTTCCCTCTGTCCATACATGGTTCCCCTCTCCAACTCTTCTGGCTAATGCAAGGGGTTGGTCAGGTTCATTTTCTGGTAGCTTCCTTATTTCTCAAGTCTGGGCTCACTGCTGTGCTCAGTGTTCCTTGCCTGTGCTCCAGCCCCTGCTTATGACCCGAGCTGCACTTCCCCAGGGGATCATCTGCATTGCCCTCTGGCACCCTGGCTCTCCCAAGGCGCTGGCGGAAGGCAGCAGGTATATGGTTGCGTCTAGCATCCCACACTAGACTCACACTGAGGGCTGATGCTCAGCAGGCCCCATGAGAGTGCCAGTTGCATCTCTGTCCTCAAAGTTCCTAGATGGCAATGGGGCAGGACACACAGGGCCCCTTGGAGTCAGGAAGAAGTGCCGTGACCTACACGGCCACTGTCTCCTCCCAACAGGGTGATGATGGGAAAGAGGCCATGTGGCTTATTTGATTTCTAAACATCTGCATGGGTGATGTGAGGGACTGGAGAGGGAACCCTGGCCCGTGACAGCTAAACAACTGAGATCCAATTTCCCAAAAGACCCGATTTCCCAAAAGAACCCGAAACTCCATGGTTGACAGGGAACCCCCACTTCTTAAATCTGAACGGCCAGTAGAAGCTTCTCAGAGCCCCTGTGGGTCATCACTGTGTGGTCTGGAGGGAACACATCCCCAAGTTAGACCTAGTGTAAGCCCCCAGCATGGCCTTTGGTTTATGGCTAATGGACCAAAAAGTAAGGCGTGAGGACTGGAGTGGCTATGGGGCAGGTGAGCTGGGCGGCTGGAGTGGGGAGGGGCCGTTTGGAGGCTCTGAGCCAAGTGTGGAAGAGAGAACAGGGTTTACCAGTGGCCCAGGTAAACAGTGGTTCACCAGGTGGGAGGTGGGAGCAGGGACTCCCACACTGAGTGTATGGCTCACCCCTGTGCACCATTGTAAAGTTGAGAGCCTTGAGTGCCATGGAACACAGTTGCCTGAATGCAGACGGGGGTCCAACAGGAAGCTCGCAGTGCCCTTGCTTGTAGCATCTGGTCTTAGGACAAAGGCAGTGGGAAGGAGAGATGGGGTCTCTGGCCAGCTGTAGGGCTCATGTCAGAGCCTGTGTGTTAAGATTTATTTTTATTTTTAATTATGTGTGTGTATATATATGTGTATGTACATGTTTATGTGAGTGCAGGTGCCTGAGGAGGCCAGAGAAGGCATTGGTTCCCTGGGAGCTGGAGTTATAGGTGGTTAAAGCTGCCACGTGGGTGCTGGGAAGAGCAGTCAGTGCTTTAAACCATGGAGCATCTCTCCAGCCCCCTGCAATTTCAATTTAAAATGTGAAATCACATCATTTTGATGATTGTGTTCAGAGCTTTTAAAAAGTATGGTTTGGGACTTTGAGAGCTTGTTTGGAGGTTCTAGCAGGGGAGCACAGCTACTCGTATATGCTGCAGAGATGATTCAATAGGTATAAGTACTTGCCTTGGAAGTTTGATGACCTGAGTTCGAATCCCCAGAACCCATGTAAAAGCCAGACTTGGTAGTGTGTCTGCAATCCCAGCACCTGGGAGGCAGAGACAGGGGACTCTTGGGATGCTTGAGGGCTGGCTAGCCCAACAAAGGCAGTGGAAAAACAACAGACATATGTCAATACAGGTAGAAGGTGGCACCTGAGATTGTCTTCTGAACCTCACAGGCATTCTGTAGCATGCATATACCTACATTCACACACAAATGTACACACACACACACACACACGCACACACACAAATACAAATATCGTTTGGGGCCGGGGCCATAGCTTAGTCAGTAGATGCATATCTAGCATGTATGAAGCCTTGGGTTCCGTCTCCAGAACCTCTTAAACTAGGGGTGGTGGTGCACATCTGTAATCCTAGCACTCAGGAGGTAGAGGCAGGAAGATTAGAAGTTCAAGGTTAACCTTGGCTTGCTACATAATGGGTTTGAGGCCAGCCTGGGATACATGAGATTCTGTCTAAAAAAAGAAAAAAGTATTGTTTGGGCCAAACAACATTTCTGCCAGTGGACTGAGCACTTGGCTTACAGTTTTGACTTTTGTCTTGAAAAGACTCTGGGTGTCTGGAGGTGGAGGGGTGCCCTTGGCCTGTACTTGATGCATCTTAGCATCATCCTCCAAGGGCCACAGCTGTTCTTGAATTCCTCAGACTGTTCTTGGCACTTGGACTTCAGAAGGACTTTTTCTGGAAGGAGAGTGGAGGTGCAGGGTGGGGATGACCCATGCAGAGCCCCTCCTCAAGATAGGGCTCAGCACTTCCACTTGTTACTCCAAGTGGAGTTGGAGCAGATGAGGGACTCCCTGCCTGTGTCTTCCAACTGGTCCTGGGTTCTAGAGGGGAGATGCCTGAGCAGGGTCGAGGGGGGGACTCCTTGCTTCTTACCCTCCATCTGTGCACTTGGAGTCTGAACCTCTCCACTTTGTCTCGGCAGGCTGGTCTGATCCGGATGGAGGAAGAAGAGTTCTTCATTGAGCCCCTGGAGAAGGGGCAGGTGGATCAGGAAGCAGAGCAGGGCCGCGTGCATGTGGTGTATCGCCGACCGCCCACCCCCCAAACCCTTCCTCTTGGGGGACCACAGGCTCTGGACACAGGTAAGGCTGCTACAGGTGGGTAGCCTGGGTGGGAAACACTGGATGTCTCCCTCACTGCTCCTGACTCCCAGGGAAGTATGGGGGGACTCAGTTCCCCTTTCTGCAACCCTGATTGGAGACTGAAATTAGCCCCAGCATTGTTGGCTTAGGAAGGGGACAGTTGTCTGCCTGGTTGAATGCATGGCATCCTGGGGGTGCTGGGGTAGTGACGTAGGGGCCTCTGCTCTGGGTACATGTTGGTAGTTTAGGTTCCCATTGCTTACAGATCTCGGACCCTTATGGAGGGAAGAAAAGACTGTTTAGTGGTCCATCTTCTGAGGGTATTGGGGAGGCAGGGAGTGCTGTGTCTATACAGATGCCCTCCAGACAGCCTCTCTCTTCTGCCTCTGCACCACCAGCCACAGTCACTGTGATGGGGCTTGCTTCTGCCCCAGCCTCCCCTGGCCACTCACAGGGAAAAGGCCCCGAGCATTTGTTCCATATCAACTCCCAAAGGATGCCCCTTGTGAGGACCCCAGAGTCACTCTGCACAGTGTCACCATCCTTCATGCACATTTGTGGGCTTTTCAAAAATCTTTTCAACTTTGCTTTAGGCCCAGGAATGTGGAAGGAGTGGCTGAGTGTTCAGGGTGACCAGTCACCTAGCTGTAGCCTCACAGAACCAGTCTCACTGCGCCAGCCTGCCTTTCCCCAGCAGTCTCTGGATTTCTGGTACTGAATTGTGCTGAGGCCAGGGTCAGGGTCTAAAGTGCTTTTGCAGGTCTCACAGTTCCTAGGTTCTCAGTGTGTACACAAGGTGCCTAGGTCCTGACAGATAGGTGGGCAGCTGGGAGCTTAGTCTCGTACCTGGACTTCTGGCTGAGGAAAGTCATGCAAGGTGACAGCAGCTGTGGGCAGGTGACAGGTGATGTTGGCTCAGGCACATCTGCAGGTGTCCAGTAAGTGCTCTGGATGCCGCTGGCTAGCCAGCCCCTGTACTGTGCTTTATGGAACTACTCCCACCCTTCAAGGCAGCCCTGGTTCATTTATTTTAGTTTTCTCCGGCATCCCAGCTTGACAGATCAATTGGGCATAGCCTGGCAGGGCACCATTCTAATTTTAAGACACCGTGTCAGATACCCTGTAAAGGAATTGTTCCATCAGGAAGCCAGTGTTCTCTGGAGCTAATCGATATTTCTGGCCACCTCTTCTTCCCTGGTAATGAATCGCCATCCACTATGGCTGTCAACAGCTGGGCTGCTGGGCACCACCTGCTCATCTTTCCGCAGCCTCAGCCTCTCTCCCACCTTCGGGCTTTCTTGCAGGGGAGTAACCCTGCAGGGCTAGAGGGAAAATGGGCAGGGGACATACCTGAGGCCTGCGGTGAGGCCTCCCCGTGGCCTTGCTCCCTTTGCTAGCCTGATGCCTTTGGGAAAAGCTGAGTCTCTGGCCTTTGCTCCCTTTTAGGTCTGGCTGGGTTAGAGGTCTTTCAGAGCTCAGGGCCTGGCCACTTTGGCTTTGATTTTGGTACTTCTTCAAGTCAGGCCAGCCTCTACTGGAGGAGTCTGGGTGGTTCTGATTCCTCTTTCTCCACCCCTCGGCTCAGGCGGGGCGAGGAGGAGCCGGCACAGGGAGCTGGCTGGGTGCCCTTGGCCCTGTCCCCTATCCCAGATTCAGTATGCGGCTTATCTTCCCTGTAGTGCCCCCCCCCCCCAGGGCCACTTGGCTTTCCTGGACGTGTGCTTCAGTGCTTCGGCATCTCCTGTTGCATCGTCTCTCCACTGCACAATCCCATCCACATATCTTTAATGAGAACTTGGAACTGAGAACATAGGAAAGGAATTTCAAACTCAGAATCATCCTAGAAACCATTGGTCTCTGTTGGTACTGGAGAAGCCGACTGCCCAGGTCAGGGTTAAGGCTGGGTTAGAAAGTGTGGTGGGTGGGGAATGGCCATCTGCCATCAGAGGAGGAGATGACCCTGTCTGAGGCTGACCTCCAGGCCTCAGTCTGGGCTCTCCAGCCAGGAGCTCAGGCTATGGGTTCTAGGTGGGAACTGTGGGCTGTAGGTCCAGACCATAGTCCTATGCCTTGGAGGATTCGTCCCCTTTCTGTGATTTCCTGTCTAGTGTCAGCATGACCCTGTAGGAGTGTCTTGGGTCTGAAGAGAGCCTATTTCCCTCTGAATGTATCTGATGGCTCCTCAGGGCCTGCCGCTGAGGTCGGCTCACTGGCTGGAGGGGGTCCAGACAGTTTATGCCGGGACTGGGCTGAGGGCCTGGAGTGACCTCAGATTATACAGCTTTCCATCAGCCTGGGCTCCAACAAGGTCCAGAGTGGCAGCTGGCAGGGTGTAGGGGTGGGGGGTGGGGGTGGGGTACAAAAACCGTGTCCTGTGGCTGGGCATGGCAAGGGGACATAATTTAAAGGGCATTGGACCTTAGGACCTCATGGCAGAGAATCTGCCTGTGTAAGGAAGACACTATGGTGTGTCCCCAAAGTTCCATGTGCTAGAGCTTGACGACCTGCACAGCAGGCTGAGGTGGCAGGCTAAGGAGGTGTGGTTAGCTCACAGAGGGGGATTCATAGAGCTGGTTGGGGCTCACAAGCAAGAATTTATGCTTTTTAAAAAATATTTTATTTAGCTGGGCATGGTGGCCCATACCTTTAATCCCAGCACTCGGGAGGCAGAGGCAGGCTGATCTCTGTGAGTTCAAGTCCAGCCTGGTCTATATAGTGAGTTACAGGTCAACTGTGGCTACAGGGAAACCCTGTCTCAAAAAGACCAAAAAATTTTTTATTATTTTTATGTGTATGAGTGTATTACCTGGATGTAAGTGCACCCCTGTTGTGCAATGCCTGTGGAGGTCAGAAGAGGGTGTTGGATCCCCTGGAACTGGAGTTAGGGACAGTTGTTAGCCACCATATGAATGCTGGGAATCAAACCTGGGTGTCTGCATGAGCAGCTGGTGCTCTTAAAGGAAGGAATTTATTTTTATGTGAGCATAATTTTACAGAGTGAGAATGCCCTGAGTGATTGATCTCTTGTCTTTCTGCCTCTCCATGCCAGTGAGCATCATGAGCCAAATAAACCTCTTTACCTATAAAGTACCCTGCCTTGTGTATTTTGTTATAGCAACACACCATGGACTCAGACATCAGTGGGCATTTTTAGTCCTTCTAATGTTTTTGGCTATCATAATAAAGTACCTGAGGCAGGGCAACTTTATACGGAAAAGATGATTAGGGAACTTTATAAGGAAAAGAACTTACACATTTTGGAGGCCAAAAGTCCAAGATCAAATCTCTGGTGAATATTTCATGAGCAGCAGCAGGAGTGCATGCTGGTAAGAGATCACATCTTCAGGCAGGAAGATCAAGATCCCAGAGAAGAAGAAACCTATGTCCTGGGCTCCTGGGATCACTGATGCCTGTGAGGTTTCTGAGGCCCCTTGGCTCCTCCCTAGGGATGCTAAGCTAGGTGGACCCTTTTCTCAGACAAGCCAACAGGGGATCTCAGCAGCTCATAGAGCCTCGACAATGCTCTCTTATACTCTGCAGCATATAGATCAGTTGCTGGGGGGAAACAGATGGAAAATGAGAGCATTGGCCTGAGGAGATCGTTTGCTCAGCAGAAAGAGCACTTGCTGCACAAGCAGGAGGACCTGAGTTCAAATCCAGCACCCACATAAAAGAGCCAGACATGGCCATGTGCACCTGTAACCTCAGAGCAGTTGGGGGCAAAGACAGGAGGATTGCTGGGGCTTGCTGGCAGCTAGATTAGTTCCAGGTTCCATGAGAGACCCTGTCTCCAGGGGATAAGGCAGAGCATGAGTGACAGAGCAGGAGACTGACGTCCTCCTCTGGTCTCTGCCCTTGTGTATGAGTGTATGCACCAGGACACTCATGTATGTATATACCACACAGGCAGACATACAGACACACAAAATGTTTTTAAAAAAGGAAATCAGGGTTCTATCCTGTTTTCTCTCAGACTGGGACTGGGGCGGGGGGTGCATAGTAAGCAATTCAGTGTACTGCAGTACTGGACTCTGGTCCTGGATGCCATTAATAAGGGCAAAAAGCTGGGCAGAGGGCACCTTTCTCTCCTTAGTAGCCATGCTGGGGTCTGGAGAAGCATCTCTGCTTAGCTTTGCTGGGCCTTTGAGCTGGGCTAAGACAGGAGGCAGAGCTCTGGTCCAGGTACCAGCTGGCCTTGGAGGAGAGGCAGCTGGTACATCCTCCAGGCCTTCTGAGGGGTTTGGGCCTTTCTTAGAGTGACAGACAGCCTCAGTCTCTGTCTTCCTAAGGCTAGCTCTGTGCCTATGTTAAAGGTTGTGAGGGCACTGTGTGGTATCGACCCCTCTGGGCCCATCCTTGAACTCTGCCCTGGCTCCAGGTGCTCATCTTTAATGAGGTTCTTGAAGAGGGAGCCAGCGTTGGCAACGGCAGTGGCAGAAGCCCTGCCTGGACCACAGGCCCTGCTCTGGTTAGAACCAGGTGGTCCTGGCATGTAACCCACCCTTAAGCATTAGACAGATTTGACATACCAGCTGGGTAGACATGTATTATGTCACAGTTCTGGGGACCAGAGGCCAGAGCTCACTGTTGCTGGACTGAGATGAAGGTGTGGGCAGGGCCACCCTCCCTCTGGAGCTGCTAGGAAAGAATTGATTCCTATCCCTTCGAGCTCCTGGAGGGGCTGCTGGCTTGCCTTGGCTTGAGACCGCAGCACTCCAATGGCTGCCTGCGTGTCACTGCTCTTCCCCTGTGTCTGTGTCTCGTGTCCCCCTCTGTCTGCCTCTTGGAAGGCTGATTCCCTTTAAGTTTCCTCCTGATGATCCAGGAAAACCTTCCCATCTCAATAGCCTTAATCTGATCATATCTGCCAAGCCCTTTTCCACTATCGAAGGTGCAGGTTGCAGGTTCAGGGGTCAGATCTCCGTATCTCCAGCAACTCCCATTCAGCCAAGGGCAGAGGTATCCTCGCCTTCTGTATGGAGCTGGTTACACAGCGCATA